GTATAAACCGGTTCTTACCCCTAATCCGTGACAAAAATAGTTTAAAAGTGGAATATGCGTAGTTTATAATATTAATAATCTCATAGAGTTCTAGAAAATATATTATCCGCCTTAATGCGTATTGCCAGCTTTTTTATGGCTTCAACAAAGATGAGCGACGCTTTTCATGTCATGCGAAAGAACGGGGTCGTTTTACGATGTCACAAGAAAAGGTTACGTCTTGTGTTACGTAATCAAAATATCGTTAAAATTAGATAAACTGTTTAGATTTTTAGCAAGAGTTAAATTTACAATAAAACTTTTAATTTAGCGACCTTACTTCATACTATATCTTACTAATATTATAAATGCGAATGTTTGGATTGATGGATGTTTGTTTGAAGGTATCTCCAGAACGGCTTAACGGATCTTGATGAAATTTGGCACAGATGTAGAGTATAATCTTGAAGAGCACATAGGTTACTTATTAAGTTTTTTTCTTTAATTCCGCATGTACGAAGTCACGGGCCACAGTTTGTTAAACGTATTGTTTGTTTCGTGAAATATCTTTACTGTAAGTAGATATACATACATTTACTTGCAATTTGCTGATGACTAATATGCAAAAAGTGAACACGATCTGTCAACGTCGACATAAAGCGATTGTCACGTCACTAGCTCAAATATTACATGGTTTTTGTTGCGCAGACATCTTGTAATACCTACCTTGAATAATAATATCTTACAGTTACAAGTTCATTGACGTACGTGCTAGTACACGAAAATATGACATGGTAGAGGTATCAAGTTGGTTTTTTTTATTGACTTTTAATACGAACAATTTTATTTGGAATGAACTCATTGTAATTGCTATTTCTCTATTCAGGCCTCCGTTAATATTAAAAAAGAAATCACTTTTAATATTAAATAAATATAAGTCTATATTCTAGTTCATGTTTTATTTTAAACGTGAGAATAAGAAAATACGGTTAATCGTTGCTCAAAATGGAAGTAATAAAAATTGATCTATAAATTATACAAGCGACTGTATTTCCTAATAATATCAACACACGGACACGCAACATCAGTCACAATACGCCAATAAATTCTATAAAACGCTCGAATATTTTAACTTTTACTCACGACTTTTATGCAATCGTCATATTGCATGTTCAACCTTGATTCACTTATACAGGCGACCTTTTCTTAACCTAGATGCCCGGTAGTTTTATCGTGAACTAGCTGTCGCCAGCAACTCCATCCCCGCGGAATTAAAATACTTAATAAGTAGCATATGTGTTCTTACAGACTATGTTTTACATCTATGTCAAATTTCAGCTAGAGCCGTTGAGCCCTTGCGAAAATATATTCAAACAAACATCCATCCATCTAAACATTCGCGTTTATATTGTTAGTAAGATATAAATATAATAGGTAAATTTGGCATAGATGTAGAACATAACCTGGAAGACACAACAACACATAGAGTCGCGGACGACTGCTAGTAAACAACACTAAATTCACTAAATTAGTCGATAACATTCAACAATCTCTTAAACACTGCTGAATATCGTAAAATAATATTACGAATGCTTTCATTCAGCAACAGTCTGTTGAGACATAAAAGTCTAGACCTAAGTTATTATTTGAAGTATACGCGCCTTATATTTCGTGGTAAGTATATAACTGCACGACATGGCGACAGAGACAATGAACACAAAAAGCCTCCGCCGTCTTTTTAACCTTGACATCAAGTCATGCTACTGTTAGCGTAATTTCAAGCTATGTAAAATATACATGTTAATATATACCTACAAATAAATTCCAGCTTGATACAGTCGCGCGTTTTTGAGGAAAAGGGTCTTGACAGACAGACGGACTGACAACAAAGTGATCCTATAATCCTAAAAATAAAGGAATGGCTCAAATAAAGTGATTTATTTTTGGAATATTTAAAAAATATACGGTGAAGTTTATATCAGGTATAGTTAAAGGAATAAACCCGTGAATAATGTCATTTTCATGTGTGCATTTACTCCTATTAATTGTAATTATATTCATAATTTTTACGTTTATAATATCACTACATAAACAATACACAATTAATGATAAGATATCATTCTTATAATTTAAACAAGCAATTATTATAATATTGATATGCAATATTTATTTTACAACAAACTAATTATCTACCTATAAAATTCATCAACATTTGCGTAGCTAGAACCAAAGCTGCTAAAGAACTCACAATATGTGTAGTTACTATAGCGTAAAGTAGAATAAATACTTCATACGATAAATAAAACAATACAATCAAGTTAACATGATGACAATATAAATACGGATGTACAGCGTTCTCGGAAGCTGAACAAAGTGGTAGCAGAGTTATAGTTTCTTTGAACAATAACACCGTTTGTCGTTCAAATCACTGCAGTTCATTGACCTTTATTACCTCACCTGATCAAAAACATTACCTCGACAAACGTCATACGATACAATCACACTACAAAACTATGTTATATCCTATAAAAACATAGCATAGACAACGTGACTTTAAACTACATTTCAATAGGAAAACTCATATATACGAGAGAAAAGTCGACGAATAGGTCGAAACTATTTAAAGTAACATCGAAATTAGTTTCTTAAAGTATACGCAACAATAACAAAAATGTCTTAAAGTTACAAATCGATAAAAATCGCGATATTACACACACTAGCTAGTCACGATAAAAAAAGAATGGATTTTATGTTTATTTTACTAATATTATAAATGCTAAAGTTGGGATGGATGAATGAATATTTGTTAGAAAGTATCACCAGATATAGAACTTAGTTTTTAAGAACACATATGCTACTTACTAAGATTTTTTAAATCCACGCGGACGGAGTCGCGTGGAAAAGATTTATAAATACAATTGTAAAATTGGCGAAAGCGAATCGACCATAATTTGACAACAGGTTTACAACATTCGTTTTTATGCATCCGAACATCGATTACAAGAAAAATGAAGGTAATTTTAAAAGACAGTTCACTATTGATTTTATTTAATCATATATACGATTTATGTTTTAAACAATAACGAAAAACGCCATATTTTTTCATAATGTTACAACAATTATGTTATAGGTCAATTTGAGAAATAATTGAGAGCAATTAGATCAAACGCGCTGACTCACAAGTACCATTCTAATATGTAGTAGGTATTTGCTAGACTACTACTAGGTAGTGACTTACTAGGTATTGAATGACTACAATCAATTGAATCTCAGGACAAACTTTCAGTGGGGTCAATTTCTGAACGCACCCGCATAGATTTTTATGACCTTTTCTACTTATTTGGTTACATATGCTACATTTGATTTTAAGCTCAAAAGCATTGCATATAAAGTCAAATAAAGCCTGCACGCAACTAATGTTTACGTTGTACTTATACCCAAGTCTCCCCTTCTTTTGGATCATCGACATGCAATTTTTCAATAAAACTCCTACCGTAATAGAATGTTTAAATGGAGGCCACAACTAAAAACTAATGAACAATTTTAAAATGGCCGTAATGGTGGTATTTGGTTAAAGAACTTTTTGTCAAATACCAACAATAGGTTTTAGATTGTCTAAAGATGTAACAAACGAAAACAAATAATTCCATGGGCTCACCTAATTTTTGCGATAAGTTGAAAATAAATAATAATTTTAGTCTTACCATTAATTATATACCGCTGTCTGTCATTTAGAAGTTCCTTCGTCAACTTTGGGCATTCCTTATTTAAGATCGAACACAATTCTTGCAACTTTCCACCACTGTGTTTACCAACAATATCAATAAAATAATTACACTTATCGGCATCTGCCGCACTAGTTATTAATTCTAAATCATTTAAACTAAACAGACCTTTCTTTACGAGCACGTCTAATAAGTTTGTATCGCACAATTCACGAAGTAAAGTCGATTTGTGCTGAGCAAGGCCAGCACACACGTCCCCTAGCGTGGCCATCGTTAAACTGACGGCGAGGCGACGGCGAGCGGCGATGGAAGGACAGCAGGCGCCGTCGAGCGGCTACGGCTACCGCTAGCAAGCGAAAAACATGTAGCTTCGACTTCCATTGATGGCTCATTCAAACTGGGAACAGATGGACGCAAGTATCTAGTAGTTTATTATTATTACCTCTGCACCCCAACGGAAATCATTGCAGTTGTGTAGTGATTTGGCGGCTCCCCCCCGTAATGATTGATATGATTCTCCTAACTTATTTTGAAAAGGAACCAAGTGCCTACACTTTTGCCTTGCTCTTGTCGAAAAAAATATGACTTACAAAAGATAACGATTATCGCGAGTATGCAGGGTATTTTATAAATGTTCATCTAACTGGGACGTGTTAATATTTATTAACTTCATTGTTCTCCTGTTTTCTAGTTTTTCAAATTTTATTTTTATTTAAAAACATAATCTAATGTGTCGGTGGTGACTCAGTAGCTTCGTTAAATTTACTTCTTAAAGGTCACAGGATCCATACTCAAGCAATTATTGGATTTGTGGATATCTTTAAGATTTTAGTTTTGATTTTTCATATAAGTATTACATTATATGACCCGTAAATATCATTTTAGTTTTACTTTGACAACGTTTAACTAAATTTTTATTATAGTAAAACATATTGCCAACTTTCCCCCTTCCTCACTCTCAGAAAGAAATATGTTTTACATTATTGCTGGTAGTGTGAACTGTGAACAACATTGAAGTAAAATTTTTTTTTATTGAAAATTGCGCGGATAAAATAAGCTTCTTGTTTATTTCGGAATTTGTTTATATACTCTTTGGTGCGTACCCTATACTGCCTTTACAGGATATGCCTTCCTAAAATATTTATTTAAAATTGTTAATTTGCTTTTTATAACAATTAAAAGTAAGTAAATACTGATAGAAGCATTGTGAAAATATACTGTTATTTTTCTGTCTTAAATTCTTATATCTTTTCTCTATCTCTTACTTCTTTAAAATGTTTTTGGACGAATTTGTAGTGACGTTTGACAGTTTGACAGCGCGAAAAGAAAATACAGATTATAAGAACAAATTTATTAAAATATTTGGTCGTGCTTGTTATCGCATAAACATTACCACTTTCATTTTGATCTTAAATGTTTTAAAATAAGTGAATGAAAAGTAATAATAACATCAGATAGAACCTTAATTTTAGACAGTAAATCTGTGGTGTCAGCATGGCACCCAAAATAAGAACAGCGGTTGAAGGTAAGTTTCTGCATCATTTTAGTAATTAATTGTAGCATTTTAACGGCATTTATGCTGGGTGCGTCTATCTGTTTAGTTATCGTAATTGTTTGTGTATATTTGAAGATGCACTTTTCGAATTTGGCGTATATATTTTGTATACATTGCTAAGCAAGTTTCCATTACAGATACAGATTCGGGGTCCGATTCAGACAGTGGTTCTAGTGGGAGTCGGAGCAAAAGTCCCAGTCCTGGTAAAGAAGGCAGCAGGTCTCGGTAAATATTGTTTATTCAATTTAATACACATAAATAATATATATGAGGTTAAGTTTGTATACGTTACATACAAACTTAATGCAAGTCAATTTTAACTTTAGGTCTTTTTTGCCAAATGCAGCATATATTCACACATTGAATGGCTGTTATTTATTATTCCAACTGCTTAATTTCATAGTTAAATATTACTTTCAGATCAGTATCTCGTAGTCCAGCACGCTCTGGTAGTGAATCTCCTAAATCAAACAACTCAGCAAGGTCCAGAAAATCTTCAAATGCATCCAATGTGTCTCGCAGTAAATCTAATTCACCTACAGGTTCTAATAGATCTCGATCAGGCTCGGCTCGAAGCAATAAATCTGGTTCATCAAGCCCTAAATCCCAAGCATCAGGTAGCCCTAAAAATAGAGCATCCAAATCTCGTTCAAGGAGTGGTTCACGTAAATCCAGATCAGCTTCAGGTAGTGGAAGATCTAGATCCGGCAGTGCTAATTCCCGTTCTCCAAGTCCAAAATCTGGGGCACAGAGCCCAAAATCACGTTCACAGAGTCCCAAGTCAAGATCGCAAAGTCCAAAATCGAGATCACAGAGTCCTAAATCAAGGTCATCAAAATCTAGATCCAATAGTCCAAAGTCCCCTGCATGTAAGAGTCGGTCAAGGTCTGTTAGTGGCAGTCCTAAGAGTCGGAAGTCAAGATCAAGATCTGGTAGTGCTTCATCAAGATCCAAAAGTCCGGTACAAAGGCAAGATGTTGCAGACAGCAGATCAAACTCTCCAAATCTTATGATTGACGATGATCAAGGAAAAGAAAAATCTAGAAGTCGATCAAGGTTAGTTCTTTATACATTTAATTTTACATTTGAGATTAAAACTCCAAATCATACTTCTTACTAATGTTATAAAGGCCAGTGTTTGGATAAATGGATATCTGTTAGAAGGTGTCTCTGGCTGTGTAGATCTTGCTGGAATTTGGTATAGATGTAAAACATAGCCTAGAAAAAATATAGGCTACAAGTTTTTTTTTAATTCACTTAATTTAATTTTAGAGTCGCTGGTGACAGCTACTCTTACTAATTGATGTTTTAAAAAATTCATAATGTTTTGTTTTTTATATCATGATAAATGTTATATTTATAGGTCAAGATCAAAAAGCAAGTCAAAATCAAAAAGTCGCTCTAGATCACGCTCAAAAAGTTCTAATGCATCCGAAGCAGAAGATGGTAAGAATATATTTAAGTGGAATTAATAAATTTTATTTAAGGGTTACACATTCAGCAATCTTTTCACATACTTAAGTGAACTAATCTATATTAGCCAATGTAGCCAACCAACAAACACAATCTTTCCGTTTACATCTAAAATTGTGTTCTGTATAGAATCTGCCATTCCTAGCCACCACGAACTTTACACAAGATTCGATTATTTTTATTTAGTTTCTCTTATAATAATTTTTGTCTTCTTTGTTTTTAGGCGGTAAAAAGAAAAGTGGACCAATATCAGACTCGGAAAGTGATGGTGATAAAGGTGTTTCTAAGCGTAAGAAGGGGTCTGATAGTGGTTCAGACACAAGTGCCAAACCTAAAAAGAAGACAAAGAAGATTGTCGATTCAGATGAAGAAAAACCAGGAGAAACGGGTAAGTTTTACACTGAGTTTTGAATTATGAAACACTTGTCTATATTTATATAAAGATTTGTTTATTTGTTTGTTTGCATTATATAGGCCCAAAAACTACTGTAATGATTTGAAAAAAATTTAATGTTGGGAAACTACAATATCTTGGGGTAACATTAGCTATATTTATTAATAGATTTTTTTTTTATTCCGCGCTGATGAATTACTTAATCTATTCCTATGTGTTGGTATCATACAATTTGCCCTAAGGGACACCATTAAATATCTGTGAGTGCGACTTTAGTGTATAGACACTGTGGTTAGATATTTATGGTATTGTAATGAAGATTTTTACTTTCAGTGACTGCGGACGCGTTATTCGGTGATGCGTCAGATATTAGTACAGAGGACGAAGGAGATAAGAGATCAGATAGATCCAAGTCCCGGTCTAGATCGAGGAGTCGCAGTGCCGCGAGGTCTGATGATGAACGACGATCTCCGGATGAGGCTAGAGGCAGTGGTGATGAGGTAACTTATTAATTTTTCTTTAAGTGTCTCCAAGTCAAACCAAGTGACTTGACTAGGTGTCGTCATATTGTGACAGTAACGTAAAGGTTTTAGCTAACTTCAAATATACTGCAGTATATTAATGTCTAAAAAAAAGTATTTAAGGTACAAATTAATTTTTTTTGTTTTCCTTTCTTAATTTTTCAAATATATGTTGACAATCGAAGGAGAACCGTGAGAAACCTGAAGAGGAGGAGGAAGTGGAGATCCCAGAGACGAGGATAGATGTGGACATGCCCAAGATCTGGACGGAGCTGGGCAAGGAGCTACACTTTGTGAAACTGCCTAATTTCTTGTCAGTGGAAACTCGCCCTTACGACCCCAATACTTATGAAGATGAAATTGATGAGGAGGAAACATTGGATGAAGAAGGTCGAGCAAGGTAGTCCAGTTTTTAATTTATTTTTTTCTTTGAAACCTTTTTTACTTTTTTCAATATCAATGTTTTAATTCTAAATAATAAATTTTACAATATTATTGGTTTTCAAAGAAGCTTCTCCCTTGGTTTCTATTAATATTAAATAGAAACCAAGAATTGTGAACCTTTAACAGATTAAAAAAAATCTATCTCAATAGCTAAACCTAGTGAGAAACCTCTATAAGCTAGAAAAATATCTCAGTCTCTTGGACTCTTATCCATGTTCGACTATATATTAAAATATTAATTTTTTTCAAGGTTAAAATTAAAAGTAGAGAACACGATCCGATGGCGCACTGTGTTTGATAAGGAAGGCAATGCAGTAAAGGAGTCGAATGCCCGCATGGTCAAGTGGTCAGACGGCAGCATGTCACTACATCTTGGCTCTGAGATATTCGACGTTTATAAACAACCATTACATGTAAGTTAATTAAAAAAAAATGTGATTTAATTTAATAGTTGTAGATGTGGGCAACAATAAAATCTGTTGCTTGAATGAGCTTGCTCGGTGCAATTCAATGATCACACAGGAAAGTCAAGTAGAAGTAATTCCTTGTCAGTCTGATGAGTATGCGTCTCGAAGGCCTAATTTTATTTCACCCTATTCGTATATGGAAAAGATGGGAAGGGGATAGTTATGACAGAGAAGGTATAGGTAGGAGAAACATCTTTTCCTGAAGTCATAGTAAAGGACCACAAGACGATTATACGAGACAATGTCACCTCTATGTTCTTCTTAGTAACTTAAAGTGTATGTAACTTGCAGGGTGACCACAACCATCTGTTCGTACGACAAGGAACAGGTCTGCAGGGTCAGGCGGTGTTCCGCACCAAGCTCTCCTTCAGGCCACACTCCACGGAGTCCTTCACTCACAGGAAGATGACACTGTCTCTGGCGGACCGCTCCACCAAGACCTCCGCTATCAAGATACTGTCACAAGTCGGGGCTGATCCTGATGCTGATAGGAAATATCAGTTGAAGGTAGCATTTTAAGCCATATCTATACGCTTTGTTTTTATATATTGTTTGTCCTTTCATTCTCTTTGAAAACAAAATTGTTTTAGCATTAGGTTTTCGACACTGAAATTTGACAGTAAAGAAAATTATTGATTTGTATCGATATATGATATAATGTAATTATTGTCATTAAGATTGCAATCTTTATAAGTTTTTTTTTAAAGAAGCAGACCACTCTTAATTGAGAGTTAAGGTTGAGAAAAACAGTTCTAATGTCGACGACAGTCTTCTATTATTTGCTTAAGGTTTTATTTGTTATAATAATTAAAATGAAATATTTCCTTGTTATTTCAGAAAGAGGAGATGGAGTTACGTGCTGCGATGCGATCTCGTGCGGCGACGAGACGCGCACGTCGCGGGGGCGGGGCGGCGACGGGTGGAGGGCGGGGCGCACGTGACGACTCCGAGGATGAGGGCGGAGTCTCGCTCGCCGCCATCAAGAACAAATACAAAGCCGGACAGAAAGGTGAGTCGACAACGTTTGTTTACGACAGAGGACGAGACGCACAAAAAGAGAATATTTTTCCTTCTTATGCATCCTTCCGGTCAAATCCAATTGCCCTGTCCTTCCCATCTTTTCCCTTATAAAAAAGGGTGGAAAAGAAAAGAGGACAAAGACTCCGATACGCACACCCATCCGATTATCTTCATCAGTCTGTCTGGTCGTGGTATCGCAAATATTTCATTCACACAAATCATACATCTCTTCTTTAAAAATGATATTAAAAACAAGAGTTATTCATTACTGACGTACCAAATTTACATATAAATTTCAGCGACAGCAGGCGCGGCGATATATTCATCAGAATCGGAAGGTTCAGATGTGGAGACCCGACGTGCGCGGAGACTGGACCGCGCTAAGGCACTCAAGGACTCTGATTCTGAGGGCAGTGAGGGTAACGCTGCAACACCTGCGCACACGCATAGTGCAAGTAACTCGCCCAGTGGCAGCGAGTGATATACAAGTAATTCATTTATAAATGTAATAAAACTTTTTTTATCATTCGTGTCGTCATCTTGTTACCTATTGAATGGAATGGATGGATATGTATGGATATAAGACTAACGACATTATAATACTGAGTTTACTTTGATATAATACCTCTAAATATTGAAAAACATTCATAATTTCAGTTATTCTTCTTCTTCGTATTCTTCATTACTGAAGGTCGTGCTTGTCCTGATACGCTTCAACGGCCATGTCGACCAGCTGCCTCCACGCCGTCCTGTCTTCGGCTTGTCTCAGGGCAGTCGTGATATTAAGTCCCAATATATCCTGCACTTGATCGGACCCGCGAGTATGTGATCGACCCCGTGACCTTTTACCCTCTATATTTCCGACCATAACCAATTTGTCTAGGTTGTCGGGGTTTCTCCGGGCAATATGTCCAAAGTATCCAAGGACTCGTCGGTAGCATGTAGTGGCTAGACTGGTGGATATTTTTAGTTGGTCTAGAATGGACTTATTTGTTCGTTTCGCAGTCCACGGAATACGCAACATTTGCCTCAATTTTAGTTATAGTATGACCAAATTCTCTGGCCCGGTAAATTTTTCGCATTAAAAATTACAAGATGGATACAGTCCAATAAGGGGTTTTTTGACTTTTTTTATCATTGACAAACAGACAAGTTACTTAATTCTATATAACTCCAATAAATCTGTCTGACTATGGTTACTATCAATAATGACGTCATCATGTTACTATAACTGGGGAAGTATAGGATTGAATTTTATTTCAGTCAATATTAAAAACCTTTAAATAATGAAGATTGAATGATAAATGAAACTAAATTGATATATAAGCACCGTCGCTCACAGGCCGCGTCCGCGAAATAATACCAGTACCACTCATCCTGATGAAGTGCCCCCGATGGGCTCGAAACTAGTCGGTGCCGCCACCGGACGAATATACGTGAGTGTTTAGCCGTGTTTATACATCAGTTTAGTATGGTGTCTCACGAAAGTTTGAATAATTTGATAAATGAAACATTGTAAATATTACAATTCTGTGTAATTGCATTGTATTAACGCGATTAAATGATGTTATTGTAATATAATATATAACAATTATTTTTTTATTTATTTATTTACCAACTACGGATCTTATAAAAAAAACAAGAAATGTCTAAAACTAAGATTTACATCGATTGGTGAGCGAAGACGACCCTTATCGCTATAAGCGATCTATCTTTTTTTGGTGATAACTATTTTTTTTATGACTGAGCAGTCACTGCCTTGAAGAGGCATTTACAGCTTCATCGGGCTTGAGGTGTCCGAGCGCAGATGGCGCTTAGCCTGCACCTCGTTTAAGAGTAACAAGACTGAGAGCTCCCTCTGGAGCCTCGGCTCGGGCCCTTACTTCGTTATAGTTACCGGATTAACTAATAATTTACGACATAAAAACTTTTTACATAGCACCAACACTTATCGCGATTTAAATGTTTTACATTACTGTAAAGCGCCATCTGTTGAAATGCATGAATACTAAACTTATATAAAAACGCTTAAAACACTCGCGTATGTTGACTGTAAACTAGTAGGTGGCGTCACCAACTAGTTTCAAGACCATCGGGGGCCCTTCATCAGGGTAAGTGGGACCAGTGAGCGATGGGCCGCGTTCGCAAATAATACACTCACGTATGTGTTTTAGCCGTTTTTTATAATGTCTCACGAATGCATGAATACTATTCTATACCTCATAAATTCTTTGACATAACAGATTATAAAAAATATATTAACAAAGTTTGCTACGTCTTTTTATTAATAACCTTTAAATACACTTTAGTTTTATACACAATTCTACCAACGCCTATAATGTACCACCATTCCTGATCTTCTCTAGTAATATTTGGCACAATAAATTCACAAGAGTTCACATTATTCCCAGTTCTGGTATAATACCGGTCACTCAATGTCTTTGGCACTTTTAGTTCGCAAGATTCTAAATATTTAATAGGATATGCGAATTTCAATATAAAATCACTTCCTTCGCTTAGTTTCGGAAACTGAGGTTCTATTGGAACATTTTCTGTAAAAAAAAAAGCAAAATAAAAAAAAATCCGAGTAAATAAACAGGCAAAATCGGATATAACGACATCTAACGACGACAATATTCAGATAAAACGCCGGAATCTATAATTTTGGTCACAATAACCGATATAACTTAATATTAAACGGTTTCCACTGAATATCTAAATTCCGATGTCATATTATTTTGATCTGTAATTCTTTATAAAATTCTCTTACCTATGATTTCAATAGTGATAACTTGGAAGTACTCTTTAGCGTCTCCATGAAGGTCTGTAAAAGCACTTAGAACCCAATTTCCATAGTCATCTTCTCCTAATGGCCCTAACATAAAATCCATAGCATCCATTTTCATTAAATTATCATTAAAAATATCTTTTGTATTATTATATTTCGGATCATTTACGTTAAATACTCGATAATTTGTCATATTAATGATTGTGTCATTAATTTTATCATTATTTGTAACAGTCTTGTTATTCGATTGGAATTCAGGCAATTTGATGACATCACCATTTGGTTTATATAAAAAATACCGCGCTTTTTCATTGACTATTGGTGCTGATATTATTATAATATCGTTTAGCGAACAACTGATAAGAAATGAGGGTAGTTCGATTTTTGTATTACCTGAAAATTAAAAACAATTGGTTAAACTATGACATGTATTTAAAATCTTTTTATTCATTCCAAAGGAGGGTATTTTAAAATGTCTGCGAATTAGTGCAGTGGCATAGAAGTTGATTATAAAACGTTTAGTTTACAGTTTTGTGGTTTTAAATCCGGTATCATCTATATTAATATTATAAAGATTTGATTGTTTGTTACAATCGAATAAGCTCCGAAATTACTGAAGCAGTTTGAAAAATTCTATCACTGTTAGAAAGCTACGCTATTCCTGGGATACACTTACGCGTGGAGGAAATCACAGGCAACTATACTTGAATTATATAATTTAAATTGGACGAATGAGAACTTAATAATGTGTGTGATAATTTGTGATGCAAAGTATATCTACCGTTTAAAGACCATAAGACATTTGTTGACTCGATCAGAGCCTAACAAATTAAGTAGTTTTTAGACACAGGAGTATGAAATGGTGAGTTCTCTTTATATTTTTACAATGCAATATTTAAATAAACTTGTGTGTTTATTTTTATTACATTTCTGCAATATTATTGTAAAAGTTATGCATTGAATTTGGAACCTTCGAAATAACTGTAGTACATTCTAATTACTGCATTTACTGATAGCTGTTTATTGCAGTATTTTCATTTAATGACTAAAAGGCATTGAAATTGATAAGGAACACGTTTTAAAACATGACTTTAAATGAACTTAATGTTTTAAAATTTATTTCACTATCTAAAAGACACGTTCTGTTTAAGACGCCTTAAGTAGACTATGAATTTGGTCTTTCTCTAAAAGATTTTAAACCTGGCTATGTTTGAAAACAATTCCCTTTATATATACCACCTACACAATGGGCAATTTGAACCGTGGTGATGATACAGGGTGTCCTATAACTGACGACTTAGGGTCCGTTCAGACAAACCAAGGCCGATCATACTAAACAAGTTCGTCTTTTCTTATCAAGAGGCAAGTGACGTGATGTGAAAAGTAAACTTAAACGTCGCTCCAATATTATAAAGACTAATTTTATTTGCAATAAAAATATGTTCTGCTGTCCGACTTGGTTTGTATGTACGGATCCTTACACAAAATAGAGCGAGCCTTAGCTTCTCGGAAATACGTTATCAAAATGAAAACTATAAAGTATAAAACGATTATTGTATGTGTAAATCTTCCTAATTTCTATAATATAATAAATTTATCAGAAGTTTTCTCAAAGAAACTTAATGTTTGCGAATACAAAAATAAAAATTCGATTAATACAACTGTTCAAGCAAATCGACTAATAAAGTCGATAAAGCAATGTAACGCTTTTAAAACAAACAAAACTGTATCTTATGCGCTTATTAATATATACTATAATTGATAGAATCTTATTTAAAATGCATTTTAATCGATTTTACTTACTATTGATTGTTGAATTCACTGTCACAGAAATGGATAAAAGAATACAAAGTTTTAGTAATATAAAAGGCGGGTTCATGGCGTACGCGCAACCAAACGACTGATAGTAAATACAAACACATCGTTTACCCAATGTAACGGACATTTGGACAAAATATAAGATTACTGTTCAAAATTTTTGTAACATAATTTATGTTTAATTACACTTATTATTCTTAATTACATATTAATATTATTGTAATTGCGAATTTCACATGATTTATGTCTTCAAAGCCAAAAAACAATGACAGTTTTTCTCCAAAAAAAGCAAGTCATTATTTTCTTTTATACCATTTTCTATGTCCATACAGGTTTTATATATTTAACTAGCGGTCGTCCGCGAACCGTTCGCGCGGAATTAAAAAAACTTATTTAGTAGCCTATGTGTTCTTCCAGATTATGATCTACATCTGTGCCTAATATCATCGAGATCCATGCAGACGTTCTGGAGATACCTTCATACAAACATCCATCCATCTAAACATTCGCATTTATAATATTAGTAATACAAGTGTTACGATTGTATAAATTAACTAACAAAGAAAGTTAGGAAAGTTAGTAACTCTACAATTTTTTTAAATTAAAATTACGAGTTTTAAGACGAATTTTAAACACAATCAGATAATCTGTTTTGTGAAATCAGTGATATATTGACGTGTTATCTTGAGTAAACAGTATTGAAATCGGTCAAACGCCGTCTACAAACTTTAGATATCATAAGTACATACTTATAACCATTTGAGGGTCGACATACTCGGACTAAGACGTTGAAGGAATAGTAGCTATCATTCACCCTACCGGCCCTACGAAGACCGCTTGAAGTTGTCGATTCATGGCGCTTAGGCTCTTTTTCTGACTGTACTAAAATATTGTGTTTTTAAAATGAAATATACAAATGAAAACGTGAAAACTTTAATAATTAATCAACAATGTGGTTACAAAAATTTCAAATTCTATTAATATCACAATAAAGGTGCGTAAATATTTCAACACGTGATTAACATAAATATTATATTTAAGCCGACATGGGCGTGTTTTTCTCCGGGACTGTTTGTTCGCTTGCTGCTTTCCTTGTGAAGCTGCGTCGGAAGCTCTCCCTGAAGGTGGAAGCCTTCGCGTACGTCCACTTTCTGTTCCTCTTGGGACCGACCAAGATGCCGATGATAATGAGGGATAATCCTATCACGATGATGAAGATCCACGAGAATGGGAACCGATCTGAAATAAACACGTTTTATTTTAAGATACAATTCTAAGAATAATCATGTCACAATCTTAAGAATTTATAAAATCCCATTGTAAACTTACAAATAACGATAGTGTTATCATCATCACCACCGGCTTCGGGCATTTGTAGCGAGTGGTTGGTCTGCCGTGAGAACTCGAAGGACATGCCCTGCACACGCGCGGCCACCGTCCACGGGTGTCGCTCCAACACTGACGGGTTGGGGATACGGATTTCACATCTACCCACAGTCAGCAGACTGTCGCTTCTGTAGCCGGTAGGTAGGTTGTCTGTCGTGAAACCTGTAAGATAAATTAAAATTAAGTAGCAGACAGTTATATCTTCGGATATATAATTTTAAACATATTTATAATAATAAACTTAGATCTAGGATCTAATCCTAGAACTCTAGTTCTCTAGAAATCTAGTTGTTCACAAAGTATTACATACTGTTAACTTAAATTCCTTGTTGGTTTCATAGAAATGTTTTGATTCTTGTGTTTGCTATCATACTTTACTTACCAAGACCGTCAATACGGACGAATCTGCAATAGTCTAGTGCGCGGTCATCGTACACGCGTCCGGTAACAATCAGCGCGCCTTTCTCCATCCTCTGCTCCGCTACCAATGTATCTGAAAATGTGGTTAATTTCGTAATTTATAAATTAGTTATAAGTTGCTAATTATAAATTTGATTCCGTTTCAACCATGAACCACTAATGTTGGAATATTTTAATACCAACTCTAATTTACCTCGAATAGTCAACGCGAACTGTGCGCTCTGTTCGGGCTCCTGGTGGTCTAGGAAGCCGACGTGGCAGCTCCAGCGGCCGCTGTCAGTTGGCAGCAGATTCGAGAAACGAATCGAACATTCGCCCGCATCGAAGCCCGCGCCCGCGTACTCGACAGCTCCTAACGACTCTCCTGTAAATTCAAAAATATAGCCATAAATAAGAAGTCCCATAAAGTTAACAAAGAAAACATTTCGTCGTGCCATAGCTATTAAGAAAAGTCATCTAATAAACTATCAACTGTGGTACTCTTTTATTCAAGTAAGGAATAATTTAAAGATTCTTCGGCTGTGAAAGTATACTCTTAGCATTTTACGAAGTTTAATGAAGGAAGGGGTTATGTTCTTCGCTTCAAGACTTGAATACTTACCGGGACTGATGGAGAATGTGGTTCCATTGCGCGCTCTGAAGTAGCAGTACCTGATGGGGGACTGTACTGAGCAAGACATGGTTACAGTCTCGCCTGCAAGTCCAGACACCGTCTCGCTCTCAGCTTCCAGAACTGGTTCTAAAATGAAACAAGTATATTATGTTAAATATTTATGGAAGTTTCCGAGGTGAACTAATTGTTTTGGCTTGATCTAGGTTTATTAAATTATTAACAGTATCCCTCAATAGAAATATAAAAAAAATTGCAACATTAGTCGGTGCAACAGGAATGTAGAAATGTTTTCTTGACGTCATGCAGAAGCTCAGTGCAGAGGGTCCTGGTGCGTTCCATTGGAGATCCGAGGACCCTTAGTTTTATTTGGAAACTTATCACTTACCAGATCGTACGCTTGCAGCTACTTCAGGGTCCCGCATGGCCCAGGGGCAGAGCGCCGCGAGGAAGCCGTAGTAGTTATCAGAGTCAGTCTCCATGGCGCACCGCCACAAACCCAAGTCGCTGATCACAGGGTCGGTGATCTGAATACCGCACTCCAAGCGACGATCTCCGGTTACAGAGCTATAATACAAGGAATAATAAGTTTAATATAGGTATCAATACTTTTAATGCTGGTTCGATTTTTACGTATTAAAGTACTTTCGAGGCGAGTCGGTGGCATGAACGTTAAGATTGTGGAAATACAATATTTGAACGCTGTAATACAGGGATTCTTTTAAAAAAATTGAATTAAAGATCCCAGCCTTAGTCCCTAAATGGTGATAAATAAAAAAATTAAGGGATTATGGTCCAGATCAAAATCTGCATCAGTAGTCATTTGATAAAAATAGGCCATTAAATTATTCGATTTATGACGACAGATAAGTCTTTCATAGAGAATATTCTTGAGGATATTGCAATTTTCATTTCCTTGGTTACTTACCTAGCACTGTTGCCGTGGAAGGTGTACCGTCCTTCACCAACTCCGGGTGTAGCGAGCAAGATACGACCTGCAGGGTCGCGGAACTTGCACGAGCGTAGAGTTTCCGAGCTCGCCACAGAGCAGGTGAGTGTCACCGTCGGCTTGTTTGAGACCACTGATGTTGATACTGCAGGTTTGGGATCTGAAGAGAAAAATGATATAAGACCAAGTGCCTCATATATAGAACCCAGTATAAATAAACCTTTGTCATTTGGTCGTATCTTTTATTAAAAGGAACAAATTAACTAATAATAAAGTCATAAAATCAACCTTCAGATAATTAAGATTATTTGAAATATTCCTTTAATCTTATCGTAAAACTGGTCAATAAACTAAACAGTAAGTCAAGTATTTGAAAGAATGTGATTATATTATTGAAATATTAGGAGTTCAAAAATCCCATCACAGTTACAATTTTCGACGAAATTTAGAATTTTGATAGATTTGTTTGAAATTTTCATTCGACCACTTAAACAGCCTTTACAAGTTTTTCTAACAGTCCATTGTAATAACCAAGGTCAATACAATGAACAGACAGGATAACAAATTCAGATTCTATTTAAAAGTTTACCTGCTTGTCTAATAGAAACGTGAACATCATATTCGTCAGTTAGAACACGTCCCTGCAGACCAACGTACATCTTCCAGTTACCAGCATGTTCGTTGGATGCTCTTGACAGCGTAACATTGCATCTACCGAAGCCATCGAACACTGTGTTATGACTAGCATCGACCAATCTGCAGTACACTGTGCTTTCTGGTCCCATAAGCTGATTCACTGGTCTATCCAGAGTCCATGTGAAGTGTGTTTGCAACGACGGATCGCTGTGACCTAGTTATGTTCAAATCATTAGACAAAGTTGACAACTTTTGACAAAATAAGTAACCAAAAAACATTGTAGTGGAACAGAATTTTTTAACAGACATTTCCTTACTTGATAGTCAATCAGTAAGTCAGATTTCTTAACTGGATAACCAAAATGTCTAAGTATGAATGCATGATTATATTTTTTGACGAAGTCAAGCCTTGCGCTTGCGTTAAGCCAAAGCGGAACGATTGAAATGCATGTATATTATGTTCTATGAGGCAATCTGATAACACAATAAGCGTAGGATTTCATCGGTTAGTAGATACTTAAATTCTATTGGTTAGTATCAATTAATGAAACGGAAAAGTTACCGTAAACAGTGACGCGAGTCCACGCCTTATAAATCGTTTTTACTCCATAGGATATCTTCCAGAAGCCAGAATCATTAGTTGTGGCATTTCGTACAATGAAACCGCAAGTATCAATATATCTTGGATCTCTTTCTACATTATAACGTTCTTCATCACGATCATCTACCAACTTACACGTAGCATGGAAAGAAGTAGCATCTTCTAGACGTATATAAATATCTTTACCTTCCATAATAGTTATCTCACTTGGTAAAGCATTTACTATTTCTGTAATTCAAAAATGTTTCTTTATCATCAGTTTTAATCATAAATTTTACATATATTGATTTTTTTAATTATCAACGCGTTATCCTTATCTTAGACGTGACCCGATACACGTAAGTCGTAAAGATTATATATTAATGCATTCAATCCATTTTCAAAAAATAACACTACCTTCTATGACGATTGTAAATGGTAATCTCCTTTCAACAATCTCTGTGCTGAATCGTGTCGCACGAGATACAAGCATCCAGTCACCGACCATATCTTCGGATACAATATGAACTTTTACTCCGCAAGCTACGTTGTAATCATTTATTGCTTCTATTCCATATAACTGCATATGTTCTATATCATGACGTTCGCCATTTTGAGTTATGATGTAACATTCGTTGCTATTCAGAAAATCGTATTCGGGAATTTTAACCTTATGCGTTTCACCGATTTTTGTTACGAAATATCCAGGATCAATGTTTATAATGCTTACATCTTCTATTTTTTTGGTCGTAGTTTCTAAAATACGCTCAGTTGTGTATGTTTTTTCAGTTGTTTCTTTTGGTAAATCTGCGATCGTTGTTTCGATGATTTCTTTTTGTGTTGTCGAATCTTTCGATGTTTCTTCCACTGACTTTGTCGTGTCTATAATTGGCATATCGGTTGTAGTTTCTGCAGTTGTGTGAAAAAAAAACTCAATTTGAATGAAGAAAATATTTAACACGTTCTATATATTCTTGCTACTTTATGCAACGATTTATTTATCGGATGGGGAATTAAAATTCATGTCAATCACGATATCTTAACATTTTATGGAGTTGATTTAGTTAAGTGCGACACTAGCATAGCGTTGACAAAGCATAACATATAAGAGCATATAAACAATCCTTCATTGTGTATAAGGCAGTAAATGAAGAAGATCTATTGATATTACCATAACAATTAACCATACTAGACAATACTTATCAATGGTGATTTATGAACGCTGATGGATAGCAAAATGAGATGTCACTATGATTAGTATCGGATGAAACGTGACAAATATTTGATTATTTTAAAAATTACGTGATAAAAAAGAATACCGAAACAACAAAAATAACATAGTATCATTTGTAATTAACTACGCGATTTCTATCATAGTTGTATATTAAAATTAAATGTTACGCATTGGCTCATTGTCAGCAATACCTTCTAAAAAGATAGTAAACGGTAAACGCCTTTCAACAACTTCAGTACTAAATCTTGTTCCTCTTGAAATTAACGTCCATCGTCCGAGCATTTCTTCTGTAGACACAAATATTCTAATACCACACGCTATGGTATAATCATTTATAATTTCTACATCAGATATATGCATATCTTCAAAATCATATTGCCCTCCATCTGGTTTTACTAGATGGCATTTCTCATTGTTTAAGAAATCATATTCTGGTATTATTAATGAGTGTGTTTCTCCAAGTTTTGTTCTAATATACACATGTTCTATATCCACTGCTGTTACTTCGTCTTTAGGTGTTGTGGTATCAAGGATTACTTCAGTGGTTTGTGCGATTGTTGTTTCTAGTTCACCAGTGGTAATTGTTGTTAGGATTTCTTTTGATGATTCTTCAGTCGTTGTTATATTATCTGATGCTATATCAGTTGTACCTTCGGTTACTTAAAAAATAAATCATAATGAAATTAAAAGAAATACTAAAACTATTACCAAGAATAAGATCAAGAATAGATTTCTTAAAACTACTTTTTCTTTTTATAATTAAGAGTTACTTTGAGTTATTAAAAGTTTTTACGTAAATGCATTGTTCTATTTTGTTTTTTGTTTGATAATCTATGGATTACATTTTTAATATAAGTATTGCTACAATTTAAATTAAATTAAATTTTTTGACTAATGGTAAGGATGGTTTGAATTATGAATGTTCTGAATACAAAAAGCTAAAATTTTGCGGCTAATTTGCAAAATGTGATGTCAAAGCTTACATGTCGGTGGCAAATATTCACAGGAAGCGTAATTCGGATTTATATTTTTATGATTTCATATAAATGTAAAAATTACAAGCGAACAAACACGAGATTTGAAGAAATGGATGGCGATTTTTGACAAAACAATTGACGGCATCGTTCACTTAACGAAATCTGAAATCTACTTTAATTTCTTCCCAAATCTATAGTAATTATGAAAGATTTAATTCGATCTTAGAATCATTAAAAACATATTTAAGGAAATTCAAATACACTTTCGAACCTGTAGAGATGACTGTCAATTGATAAGATTCAGTGCGAGTAGTTCCAGCATCTGACACAGAACGTAGTACCCAAAGACCATTGTCATTACTGTCAAGATTCCTTATTGCGACTTGACATTTGACAAAGTCTGTGTCATCTAGCAGTTGGTATTTATCGTTGGAATGATTTTGGGGCTTGAATTCTATTTCATCTCCGCTCGGGGTACTTAAATAACATCCGACTACATTGTCATTTAAGGTCAATATTGACGTTTGAAGTTTCTCACCCGCATTAAAGCTTACTTGCCTCGGCGCGCTTGCCTTGGCTGTGAAAGCGAAACCTGAAAAAAAAAGAAAAACAAGATGTAGAGTAGACAAATGCTTTTAACTCTTTTGTTCGTATTATTTTTTAATCATACTAATATTATAAACGCGAATGTTTAGATGGATGGATGTATGTTTGTTTGAAGGTACCGGCCGGAATCGCACCGAAACGGCTTAACGGATCTTCATGAAATTTAGCACAGATGTTAGAACATAGGTTACTCTTAATGAGTTTTTTATTTAAATTCCACGCGGATAGCTAGTCCACTATATTCTCGTTTCTCAATATCAATGTTTTTTTTTAATAAAATCATAATAGTCACAGGCTATCAATAAACAATTATGAACATAATACATAATTGCTACAAAAGAATAAGTAAACAGTGTATTGCTTAATGTTGGTATTTCTTCCGTATATAGAGTCGAGGCATCCAATCGTAATATTGCGACATATACATGATATTCTTTAATGCGACAATTAAAAAAACATCAAAGCATCAAATTCCATGCATTTTATTTTTAATGCACATTCATTTTTCGCAATTTTTTTTGCAAAAACTTTAAAACGACTTAATCTTCTATCATCTTCTGAAAATGGCTGGCTGTTTTGAAGAAGGACACTGTAAACTGTTTTTAACATGGAGAGAAGGTTTAAAAAACAAGGGTATGTAGAGTTACCGAATTAGTTTAAGATGCAGTAAAGTAAATACTGAACAGAATCAAAGATATTGGAAAATTTTGAAAAATGTTGTGTTGCCAAAATAGGTCTTTTTACGGTTTGAGGTTAATTGACACTTAAATGAGTATGAAAAAGAACGTGGTTCTTTCTAAAAATCCTCAAACAAAAGCGTCAGTGTCAAACGTTTTTTTAATAGTCCTTAAAAGATAACATAAGTTCGAACGCCTAAACAAAATATAAAAGTTATTGTTATCGCTGTCATTTCAAGGGTGACAATAAAAAAATATTTTTGTAAAGGGCTGGCAACTAACCATGACGGTGATAAATTCGAAGAATTAGTATTAGTATCATAAAAAACATTATAACATTTTTAATCAAAAACAAACTTTTATTATGTTAAAAAAAGACAAACTATTCGTCTAGACTATTCATACGAGCCCAAACTCAATAAGCTTGTGTCATTTCATTGAGATGTTTCTATAGTCACCTTCCAGCTCTATCATAAAATTAACAACATTTCATCGTAAAATAAAGCATTTATGCAAATTTAATTTATCAGTAACCGGTAAGTGAATCTTTCATTTGCAAGATATGATAATTGACAACAAGATTAAAATAAATAAAAGCTGTAAAACTATTGTTTTTAACAATTTATATCATCTTATTCGTTATATTGATTGTAATAAAAAAAACATATTTTATATAGCACAGAAAAAAACTAATGTTATGGTCACGTTCGAAAAACGGAACGTATTTTATTTACATTCCGGTTTCCAATGTGTCGTCTACACCTGTCAAACATTGTTAAAACTTATTCTGATTGAACATATTTTGTGTTTTAAGCTATGTGTTGACGTTAAACATCTCAACGATCAATTTATTACTTTTATAAATACAGATTGAATTCTTAAAAATAGGTTATTGTATAATCACGCAATTAAGTTTCGTAGAAATCGTAAATACTTTTGTAATAATAATTAAACTGATTATCCTTTTAACTTGAAACATATAACCGATATGTTATATGTTAACATTAATTCACGTGTTTTAATGTTATCGTTAAAGAATAAACTTAATGTAGGAATAATAAAAAAAATATTATTACTTATTTACTAAACCACTTCGATAACAAAGACGTACCACTTTTATAGCCTTGAATAAGTAAATAAGTGTTGTACATACCTGTAATTAAGAGAACGCACAAAGCCGTCTTCTCTGACGACCGCATGGTGGCACTGATCTACCGGCACTGCTTATGCTGCGAGTTTTCAAACAAACGATAATTCAACAATGTGGTAGCGCGCCACCATTTATATCCTTATAATTAATCATAGCAAGATCTCATCCAAATCCAACTATCTAATCTGGCGATATCGAGAATGTGTAGTGTTGCCATATATTCTTATCCAATTACCATACTAATAATAATAGAAAATAAAACAAAAAATTTGTTTAACAATAAATATGGGTTTAATATTACTTTTTTATGCAAGTAGGAGGAAAGATGCGGGTGGCACAAGATCGGTCATCGTGGCGATCTTTGGGGGAGGCCTATGCCCAGCAGTGGGCGTCTCATGGCTGAGTAGATAGGAGGAAAAATAGCAAGCGGTCTGCCACGTCTTTACGTGACTACGTTTTTCTAATTTGTAAGTGTAAAACTACAATTGCAATATTACATTTACAGACCTATAAATATATCTATTCTAGCAGGTATTCTGTAAGGTCGTGGTGGAAATTCATGTATAAACATATGCTTAGCTAAGTCAAACCTGTGTTTGTAGAATGTTCCCTTATTAAATTCAATTTGCTACATTCTTTACAAGGAAACCAAAAGCAGGTTTAATACAAGTATACAGGTTCCTAACGAGCTTGGATTCCACTGCCAACTCATAATAACCAACATTCTATTTTGTTATTTAGTGTTTTCAAGATGAATGATTTTTTATTTTAAATGTTTTTTTAGGGGAAATACACGATTACATTAACCAGTTCAAAACATGTTCCAAAATATATTGATTAAGAAATAACATGTGTTGATATTTTCCCATATTATTGGGTGTTTCTTTAAACATGGCAACATTAATTTTCTTATGAAACGCAGAAACGCGTTTGTACTGTCGCATTAAGCAAGAACAATAGAACAATTGTGATAACAAATATTTTGAATTTTTGACACAATTGCTGTAATTCTGAAATAAAGCAGATGACATTATATCATATGCAGAAAATGCTGTCTTATTGTCTAATTCATAAATTCACTCATTCTTTTCTATCATCATCATTTATGTCAATTTTCCGTCATTTTATTAGGTTCCTTCAAAATAATGGTGAATAGACTAAATACAAAACTAGTGCATAGGTAATAACGTCACTTAACTTCGCATGGAATTGTCGCTTAGTTAGTTTTATTAAATGAAAATCTGTTTTATAATTTTTGTAAGATTCATTGTTATTCAGGTTTAATTTACTTATCTTTTTTAAAGTAAAAGTTGGGAAACGAAAAAGCGGCCACCAGAATTCGCTAATACAGTTAAGTGATCGCTGTTGATAGACATCCCTTTTCCCCACATGCGTTGCCTACCTTTAATCAACTAAGGTGACGCCACATATTGAAGATACATCATCTACTTATGTATCCTCTTTCCCGCCAAATCAACTTCCCCTACAATCCCTTCTTATTTTTTCCTTGTACTAAAAGGGTAGGAAAAGAAAGTGAAATAAACACTTCCCCTGTCCTTGTTCAGATGAAACGCGGAATTATTTCCACTTCACGCCTTCTTCTGTCTGTCTTTTGTATGGTCGTAGTATTGCACCAGTTGAACCTATTCGTCCCAAAGAATTACGGGCTCTATAACTATTAAAATCATGATAAATTTCAAAAATAAAACACGTTAAGCAGCAAGCGCCTTATAAAATTTGCACCGCAAGTTTTTTTTATGGCTGAAACTATTTACCTGGCTATTATGATAGACAGGATTTTTTAGTTTGCTATTTCACATCACAGGCGTAAAATATAATATTCAGGGGTTGATGGACGTTCACTTTTTATTTTAATCAATTTTTATTTTAGTTCATTTCATTGGTAGTAATTCTTTTTGCCAATGCGTTGTCTTTTTTCTCCACTAGATTGCGTTACATGTATAGGCCGCGAAAGATTTTTTTTATATAAGAGAAGGGGGCAAACGAGCGGCGGGAACACCGAGGTGATCAACGACACTCATGGACATCTGCAACACTAGAGGAACCGCAGATGCGGCCTTTAAAATTTTAGATTGTACTACAATGTAATAAATACAGTTATTTATTGGTAATTACTTATTTACTATATACACATGTTATATAAAATATGCTGTACTCTACATTGAAGTCAATGTAAGATTAAGCAGCTGGAATAATTTCAGACCTCCCAGGTTCAAATAGTACGAATATATTGTGTAACCAATCTAGGACTTTGTGAATTACTTTTGTGGTATTTTACAAAATTAATCATATGCATAATTTTATTAAAATATTCAGTAGCTTTTACTGTACTTAATATTTTTAATGAGAGCGAAAGAGACGAACTTATATTTTTGTACGGGTGTTACGACAATGTTAATCCACGGTTATATTTAACTTTATATTGCTATTTAATCTGACTATTGTAGCCAATCTAATTTTATCATACTCTTCATTCTATTCCTATTGTTGTGTTCCATGAGATCATTGCCAACTTATGCTGGCATCGCATTGCTGTAGAGGAATCTGTTGTGAAAGATCCCTATAGCTTTATTGGACGAATACTAGTTTTATTCTAGTATATCGAACAAGGCTACTTCCAATGAGGCTTGCCAAAGAAAGTTTTATATCTACTATCTCTTAATTATTAGCTACAAACTCTATGCGCTAAGTTAAATTGGTATATAATTTAAAGAATTTCAAATAAATGAAGACATTGTCTTTTTATATCCTTAATTTCTTCAAACATATAGTGTCTATAGTCCCATAGTCTTACGTCCGAATGCGCTTTACACCGCAATGTGTTTGTTCGTTCATCTGTTCAGGTAGAAAATATATGTCCAGAGGTCCATATGTCAGCATTAACGCATCTCTCATTTTACATAAACTCAAAATGTGAATAATGTAACACTAGAAGTAGTCCTGGTTAAGGTACTAGTTATCACTTATTTCCAGATAAAGGATTATATAAAATCAAAATTATTAAGTATCCTTTATTTACAACGCTATTTATAACACTGAGTCATAAATAAGTAAAAACTTATTTGTGATAAACAAGTGTAGGATATTTGCTATTATGGAATAAGTCATTGTGAAATAAGTTCGTCCTTTAAACAATACTAAATTATAACAGTATAATTATTGGTATAAAATTTAAGAAAAATACTTTCATAGGGAGTGCTTTGTCCTGTAACTCTGGTAGCAATATAATTTCCAGAATTAATTAATTCCAGCATAGAGGAATGTAGGTAGACAGAAAAAGTCCTATGGATGAAGTTAACATCCTCTTAATGCTGGTTTTAATTACAGCTAAAAGTATGTAGATTTTATCTGTTGTCATTTTAATCGTCTTATAAGTAATTTTGTTTAAGATAAACCGTTAAATTTATTAACAACCATTTGATTTTTTTTCTACTTGATAAGTGGCAATCGTACGAGAAGCGTTTGCGTCGCCGCAATATCCTTTCGCCTTTTCTCTCGACTTGAAAGAAATGTGTGTAAACGACCGTGGCATACACAATATGTATGAGTAAATAATTTATAACGATGTAAGTAAAATATAAATAAATGTAATGTAAACCTTATTCGATTACAATAATGGCGATATTACAAGTTTGTTGTTAGATAGAATAAGATGTTTTAATCTGTGGTTGTGTCACGACCGGCGCACGGCTGCACGGCGACCATGCCTGTGCCTGTGCTGCCCTCGCGTCATCAGTTACTCACAGAAACGCGTGGCGGGAGCGCGCTTTTTTGACATATTCATTGTACAAACTAATGAACTATTAATAGTTAAGCCACTTATTAATCAGACGGTGCAACGTTCCAAATATCTGTGTTAACTTGGTCGTTTTAAAATCTTCTAGTGTGTGGACGTTTAAAATTATTACACTAAGGATATCGTTTATTAAAACGTAAGTAAATCGATTTTTTTCCCGCTTGTTGTTGATTTCTCAACAACAATTCAAATTGTAATCAATATTTGATTTTTAAACCTTTTACAAAATAATAATTTTAGTAGCCAGTGCAACTTTTATGTGGAAGCATGATTCGTCCATAATTCCGTTATATTCGCATGTTTGAACTCGTTTGACTACTATAACTTTAATCACGAACTTCTGTGCTAGAAATGCTAGCCTTTATTATAACTATGCAAAATAAAAAAAACATTTGCAATAAATAAGAATATCGCTCGTTAATTTGAATATATATTCAATTAACCCGCTTACAAGGAAACAATAATTGGCGGTACGTTTAGAAATAAACAAACAGGTCATCTTATTATGACTAAGTCGTCGAGTTTCAAGTTAGTATAAATATTTATTACTTGCTGATAAGTATTGCCGCCGTTGAATCAATGGACTGCGCTGACAATTCTTAATCAACAGGATATTATAGAGAATGTAAATAAGTTTTTTGAGTTAACAATTGAAGATGAAAACAACTATAAATGTCTATGTAACAGCATGGAATTTTAAACGTGTTTCTTATTGCGTCCAAATATTTTATCCACTACAATGATGGTGATTTCTAACTTCTTCTCATACAGGTACTTCCATAGGTATTTGACTTTTAAAGAAGCTATTGACTATCGAGTGATCTACCGACATTTCTTTCCTTTGGTTTCATAAAGATACTACAATAGTAATTAAAATAATAATAAACCTCTCGGGGTTCTAGTAACAGTAATTAGGCAGTGTGTATATTGTGTTACATTTACGTGATTTAAAACTAAGAATAAAACAAGAGTTGGTAGTACCACTAAATTTCGGAGTCATTCGATGTCAATCCGTTATCCTACCTGCCTACTTATACTTACATAGTAGAAATAATAATAATTTTGCTTCATATACTGCTATTCTTGCCAGTGTGCTAATGTTTTTTTGTTAAATGGAAAAATTTTGAACATCACATGAATAAAAAACATAGAGACGGTAAGCGATATAGAGTGTAACGATCTCTGTTGTCTGTTAATTTGTAAGTCATGCATAGCTGTCTAGCTTAAACTAAATGAAACGGATAAACGAAACTATTAGTCATAAAATTCTATTACTTGCAACATTGGAAAGTAACGGTTTTTAATATGCCACGGAAAAGTTTGTTAGAATGTGAGATCAACGAGTAATCGATATGTCGCAGTTCATTTGTTGAAACCGTCAAAATTAAATACGGTGTGTTAAACTGTCAGTTGCGCTTGGTTTTACTACAAGTACGAAAATTAGACAATTTTGGTTTATGAGTCCTGTTTGTTCGCAAGACTCATAAAATAAGCTATGTTTTTTTATTTATCAATTGACTGATAACCTTTTAATACATAATACGTTGGATGTTATTGTATGTATGATGCATTGTGATTACTCAAGGTCATTCAAGGTTGCATTTAGTTTACAATTCCTGTTAAATTTAATAATACCTACTTCATACGTTTAGTTGCGTGTATTCCTAACTTTACGAACGGTTCGTTTTTTCGTGCAAGTTCATCGGCCGATGTTTATTGTAAGTCTATTTCAATGATTTGACTCATACACGCCACAGAGGGTATGATTCTCTGTATTAAACGTGTCTTACGAATTTCTTTATATTATTTTGATATCGATTACACAAGTGGAAATGCAACAGATTAATATTGTTTGTGAAACATGTTACACATCGAATACATATTCTAATTTACAAATTCGTGTATGGCAACATCTAAATAAATATTAAACAGTGTCACCAATGGTCTTATAAATTGAATTTTTTGATGACGTAACATTGTAGAATAGTTAGTATTTTAATTGTTTAACCATTACAAGCGAAATGAACTGACGGCCAACCCCGATTAAATGGAGAGGCACCTTGTGAGAGAGAGAGCGAGAGAGAGAGAACCATTACAAGGATACGGTTCTTCTTCTTGTAACCTCTGCGATTTACTGCTTATTATGGTCTATTGCAGTCACTACTACTTCTATCTTGACATTTGGTCTTTTGTTTTACACTTTGCGATGGTTTATGCTTAGTTTATATTAATCCAGTTCAGTAGGATAGTACTGACTTGACATGGCCTGTTTTGGTGCACTAACGCCAGTATAACAGCGCTGATATTGAGTGCTACTGCACTACTGGAATACTGTAAACCAGGTAAGTCAAGTAGCAGTTCGCTAGATGAGAGTATATTTAAACTTGTTTCTTATTCTTTAAAATTTGTATTGATTTAGTCATCATTGTCTGACCGCCGAATCATCATCATCAGCTCACTACATGTCCCCACCGAGGGGCTCGGAGCCTAAGTTAAGGGTGATTAAGCCACGCTGGCCAAGTGCGGGTTGGTTGACTTCACACGTATCTTTAAATTTCTTCTCGGATATGTGCAGGTTGCATCACGATGTTTTCCTTCACCGTAAGAACGTCGGATAAATGTACATATGTAAATCGGAAATCGAAAAACACATTGGTATAAAGCGTGATTCGAACCGAGGACCTGCAGATTGCAAGTCAAGTGCTTGAACCCTGAGCCATCGACGCTCTCAGTAGATTTAAACTTGTTTCTTAATCTTTAAAATTTGTATTGTTTTAGTCATTGTCTGACCACTGTATCATCGGTCTTAAATCGATTTCACAATTGTGCAACATCGAGACCGGATTATATAAATCTGTTACGTATTAAATTGGGGCAACTGTTGTGTCTGCATTTTAAAGGTCGTATTTTACCACGTTTAGATATTTATTATAACTAGGACGCAGATGTGTACAATCTCCTTAACGTAAGGTCACCTTTTGTCCAATGAACTGAATACTGGTATTGTGTAAAAATATTTTTTTTTGTTTGGAACATTAGCCAAGGACCTTCATAAAGTTTGTATGATTATTAAATAGGTAATGGGTCTAACAGCTGACTATATTTGTTTTGTAAATAAATTTTCTCTCATAACTCATATAACCGTGGGTATTCACTGTAGAAACAGCCGTAAAACAACATTATTTTCTTATCTTTTTTTTAACGAGAATGAAGTAGTTGATAATATGTTTTAGCATGAGTATTTCGGTAGTGGAAACTGACGATTAAACTACATAATAAATCTGTTAATAGAAAGCTATTTGGTTTTCCTTTCCGCGTACAAGAGTAACTTTTATGATTTATTTATTTTTCTCTAAATTGACAGACAAATATTAGTTCGATTTTCAATAGAATTTACCACTTCCTGTTGATTGCTGTATATCATTGTAAACAGGAAGTGACACAGATAAGATTTTTAGAAATAACCCATCTGTAGGTGACTTGTCACTTCCATTGTTTTATTTGGTTGTGGATATGGGGAATGAAATTACTATATTTTTCAAAGGAAAAATATTTAGTTTTAGTTGTTTAAAAACTTTTTTTTATAGAGACGATACTCCATAATTTTAATATTGAAAATATTGTCAAGCGTTTAAGAAATGCCTTTTAAAAATCTTACTACCTTTCTGACTAACCGACCGACTGACCGAGTGCGATATGGTTGGCATCTGAGACCTCTGTATAAAAATATTATCAACCTGTCAACAAAACAGTGTTGACGATATATTTTAAAAGGGGATATTGTTCTCAGAGACCCACAGTTAGAGACAAATATCACGATGACGACATCGAGTAAAGTAAGAATTTCTTTATCTTTCACCAGAAGCCCACGCAGCATCCCAGTCGTATCCGGACTTAATTAATAAGGAAAGAAATAACACGTTTATTGCTTTTGACAGCGTTCAAAATAACGATTGCTAATGCTTTTATTGATGTTTTCATGTTTATTATCAAAGTTATTAAAACATTACTAAATATCCATATTTAATTATCTCGAAAATCTTTTTGTAACGAAAAGTCTCAAATTCGGTTATTATTAAAATTTTAAACGATAAATACAACACCCAATAACTGCATTACAGGAATGTGAAAAAAAACTTACTAACTTAATTTTATGACTCAGCGTTCCAAATCGGTTCGTTCATGTTAAGTATTAGAAAGTACAGGTATTATTTTTATTTTATTAACTACGAGTAAAGGACATTCATTGTTCTGTCTGTATGTTATGATTAAAAATACTTTACAAACACAATGTTATTTATATCGTGAATGCGTTTTTTTATATTCTGCCAGTAAATGTCGCAATAATTAAGAAAAAAAAAAGAACTTATTAAACGTTTTTCGCCTTCACTTCTAAGAATTTTTTTTCTTCCATATTTGCTTGAATATTTTAAAACTGGCCACAAACAATTGACGCCATATAAAATAGGAAGTAGTAACAATGCAAGTGTTCAAGTCACGTTCTATGACAAGGAGTTAATAAGGAAGCGACAAAAATATATTCTCTATGCATTGATTTACTGACGCATGTGATATAGGGGACATGACATAGGTATTGATAAAAAAGTTGTTTATCTATGATTGTCGTTTTGTATCTGTAATCTATGGTAATCTATGCCTGAAAAAGTAAGCTACTTTATATTTTTTTTATTACAAACGTGCCATGGTTATAATTTTTATAAAAACATATAAGTGCCAAATTAAACTATACAGCAAGTAAAAATCTTGAATAATTTCAAATGGTTTATGTCGAATCATACGAAATAAGGATCGGAATATTTGCGCCTGTTGGGTCGGGATGCGTGCGGGAGATGGTTACCACGACAACGGGGCGAGGTGGCATCTATTTCTGTCCCCCGTTCAATCTCGCAACGAATTCCTTGCAGTATGAACCGATGTTATTTTGCCCACATGTCGACCAGTCACTAGTTTGGCGATGTACTTTGAAATATTTTAGTCGTCAAGGCAATATTTTTACTGCCCCTAACTATAAAATTACTTTACGAAATGCTAAATTTCTATTGTGATTTATTTTTTTATTATACTTAAATATTGTAATTGACCAATATATTTTTATCTGCACAAGATGCATATTAT